GGTGGGAGAATGGACTGGGAACAGAGTGGGTGGCTGTTGTCCCCCTGCCATCTGTGCCACTTGGAGGAGAAAGAAGGTGACTGTGAATTGGAGGAGAGTGGGACAAAACTGGGAGATGGAAATTGCTCACAGCCACCCATGACGATGGTATCCAGCACCAGGGGCACGAATATGTGTGTGCTCTGGATGTGCCGGCACTGGAAAACGCGGTGCTGCTCGTTGGGGTCCTCTGCAGCAGCCGGGTGTTTCCATGTGAGGAGGTGGCTCTTGGTGGGCACAGAATGTGGGGCTCCAGCTGGGGTCTCAGTCTAGCGCAAGGGCTTTTAGCTGGTGGGTACGTCTTTCAGAAAGCAGTGAACTCAACATCTTCTGATGCCTCCCGGTGTGCTGTGTCCGGAGGAGGTGCTGGCATCCCTTTGTAAACACACGGGTGGCTGGAGAGCTGCTTGTCCACTTCTTTCTCTGACTAATACCTGCAGAGTTCCCCCTAGCGTGAGCAGACATCTTGTCTACCGAGATGGAACCGGGAGCAGTTTGTGCCCTCATCGTCCTTTGTTAAGTTATTTTGCTGCTTCTTTTTCAGGGTAAATTCACGCTGCTGCGAGACACCAGAACAGATGGCAGCTTCCTGGTGCACCATTTCCTCTCCTTCTACCTCAGAGGTATGTCAGCAGCAGGACTCTCCAAGGCAAGGCTTTGCCTTTGCCTGCTCCTTGGAGGTTCCTTCGGTGTAAAGTGTTTCTATGTGAGCAGAGGCTGGTTTTGCAGAGCGTCAGGCATCCTCGGATTAGCGCAAAGCTTTGGGGTCAGGATTTATGGATCCCAGTCCTGAATTGTTCTTGGGGCTTGCTCTATATCCTTGGGTACATCCTGTAATGTCACCTTGCTTCATCATTAGTGCAGTGAACATTGTAAATCACATGGGCATCTGACAGTGAGGTGTTGACTGTAATTCCTTCACTAGCTAGGTGTAATTAAAAATGTAATTAAAAATACCAGGAACAACTAACAAATAGATAAGTTGGTAGTGAGTAAAGAAACAAACACAGAGCCTGGTAAGTTGCCTAATTGCTTTTCTGCTAACAGTTTCACCTGTGAGTAACCTAACAGCCCCTGCAGAGCAGGTGCTGGACTCATGGACTCCTCCAGCTTTCTGCTGGCAAAGGAGCCAGCTCAGTGAATCTGGTACCCATCAGACTTGAAACTTAGCTGAGAGTGCTGTGCAGGTGGTGGGGCAGAGTGCATCCTGCCCCCCACAACTGCCACTTCCTCAGCTATGGCTTTACCTCGTTTTAAAAAAAATTGTTTTCCTTAATTGAACAGAGTCAAACTGCAAGAAAGCTCGTGGAGAGCAGGTTATTAACAGTGTGAACGGTTCAAAGGGACAGCCCTGCCGAGGCTCTACCTCAAGGTCTGCCCGAGTCCCCGCATGGCTCTGCTAACGTGCTGACCTGCAGCACTGTCCTGGGAGTTGCTGCACGGGGCTGCCCGTCTGCCTGGGAAAAGCTTTACCGTCTTTTGTGGTTAGGAAGCCCTTTGGGATTATTAATGCATCTCGAGGCAGGTGTGCTGGCTGTCACCCTCTCATTCAATCCTGGAACCTGGGTGCCAGTGTACTCTGCGTCTGTAGCACCCCCATGTTGTCCAAGTACCTGCTTGGTGCTCAAAACCTTTGGGAGCTCCTGAGGGGTCAGTGAAGGCTCAACTGGGGCCACGGACTTGTTCCACTTGAAATCCATGTCCTGGTCTCTGGCAGGGAGAAACAAATACACTGATTTTGTTCATACCCAAACTATGAGGCCAGCTTGTCACATGCCGGGTTTTCCAAAATCACATTTTAGTGAGGTGTCTTTGTCAAAATTGCTTGTTCTGTGTTTTTCCAGACAAGGTCACTTGCCCTGTGAGAGCCAAAATGGGAATTTTTGGCATGTCAGTGGTTTCAGTAGTTCGTGTCACGGTCGGCCGTTGGCCACCTTGCAGTAGTACCAGCAAACAGTGCCAGGAGATCCCAGGGCAGGATGGCAGGAGACAGAAAAGGGGCCTCCTACTTTTTTTATGTCATCTTTTTCTTGTTCTTTCTCTTTCTTTTTAAACTGATTAACATTTTCCCTAATGTGGAAATCCTATAGAAAGGTGAAAATTGAAAGCCCAGCCACGAGCAAGTGAGGGGCTGCCTAGACCTGTCTCACTTCAAGGCCTTTCCAGACAGATTTGTAGCCTGGCTGCTGTGATTTATGTGCTTTGATAGTGGCAGCTTGCAAAATTGAAATGATAACGTGTCTTTTTGTCTTCTCACTCAGCTGGCTGTAAGGTTTGCTTTGTGGCCCTGCTCCAGTCCTTCAGTCACTATAACATCGTAGCACAGAAGCTGGTAAGTCTCTTGGTGTAGGTTAATAATTACAGGTGCGGGTAGTTTCTGTTGGGTGGAAGGGAATGAGAATGGGGAATGGGAATTGCAAAAACCTGGCTACGAGGCTCACTGCAAGGGCCCCACCGGGCTCTGCCCCGGAGAGGGCAGGGAGCTGAACAGCTGCTTGCTTTCTTTGTGCTTAGAAATGTTTTCTGGAGGTCAGCATTCCCCAGACAAGCCCAGACTGGTAGATGTAGTTTCATTAGTGCTCTGGGGAGAAAAATGCCGTGGTGTCTATGTCCCTAGGGCCTCTCTGTACGCCTGCAGGATGCACTGGCTCTACGGCACAGGAGGTCCTGGGTTGACTTTACCCTCTGTCCTGTGGTTACGTTAGGATGAAGTCCTTTGGGCCAAACTACCTGTAAATTCAGAAGGACACCTGTATGCCTCTTTTGGCCTCTGGGCCAAGCCATCAGTTTGAGGCATCTGAGGAGCCACAAGCGCTGAGTATGTTCTTACAGATTTCCTTCCTGTGGTGAGTCGGGCAAGGATTATGTGTACCCTGAAACAAGGAAATGGAGAAACAAGGACACCTGTATGCCTCTTTTGGCCTCTGGGCCAAGCCATCAGTTTGAGGCATCTGAGGAGCCACAAGCGCTGAGTATGTTTTTACAGATTTCCTTCCTGTGGTGAGTCGGGCAAGGATTATGTGTACCCTGAAACAAGGAAATGGAGAAACAAACATAGTGACAAAGGGTGAGGAAAAGACTGAGGTACTTAATGCCTTCTTTGCCTCAGTCTTTAATATTAAGCCCAGCCCCCTGAGCTGGAAGACAGGGACGGGGAGCAGAATGAAGCCCCCATAATCTAAAGGGAAATTGTTAGCGACCTGCTACACCACTTAGACACACATAAGTCTATGGAGCAGGGGAGATGGGATCCACCCAGGGGTACTGAGGGAGTTGGCAGAAATGCTCACCAGGCCACTTTCCATCATTTATTAGCAGTCCTGGCTAACCAGGGAGGTCCCAGTTGACTGGAGGTTAGCAAATGTGACGCCCATCTACAAGAAGGGACGGAAGGAGGATCCAGGGAACTAC